AGAAGACGTTTTTCAACATTTATATGAACATAATGTTTCACTTGTACGTGCTTGTTGGTATATTAAGATGCTGGCATTGTATCATAGTGCAAATAATGATTCAAAACAAAAAAAACGACACGTTGCAACTGATCCATGTACTGAATGGACAAGAATTACAATTGAAATTTTAAAAGTAAAGAATTTTCCTCTTTCGTTGAAACTCAACAAAACTATATTTATATACGAATGAATATAAGTGGAGCCCGTCGGATCGGTCGAGATCCAAACAGGTCATTGGATCTTCTGCTTACTTGCGAAGGGTTTTTTGAGTAGAACATGCAATTGTAGAAAGATACAATGAATTATGTTTTATGTTAGAATATCGAAAATGAGATTTTTAAAAATAGTTTTCATTAGACATAAACATGACCGCAAGTATTCATCCTTGAAGCCATGTTACTGTTCGGATCTATTAAGATCTCTATTGGATACTCAATACTATTTCGAAATTTATAGAATCTTTCAAGTAAAGCATGAGATATTCATTAGGTTAAAAGATGTACAGGATATGGTATGGGTTAGGAAATTTTTCTTAGTCAGGATACGAAGAAAGCTTACGCTGTACATCTCTAATTTAGTGTTATAGCATCCAACGAATACACTAATCACATACAAAAAAGAGTCTGGTTGTTCTAATCTGAGCTTCTATCCATAAAGAAAGGTATATCGTTATTATATTTTAGTTGATTATTATTATATTTCAAGTACATAAGAAAAAATTACAGTTGAATTTCATGTTTTCATACACTAATAAGGGAGTTTTACCAGGTCTTAAATCGTTTTCGACTAAGACAATGTTTATTTGATGAGTACTAATGATGAACAGAAAAGTCTAGAATGGTTTGATTTTTCGGGCTTTCATTCTAGATTTTTCAATCAAAAATTATGGTCTTCAGATCATGCAGAAAATCAACTTTCGCGTCTATTCTATCGTAACTTTTGTTTTCTACTAAACACAATTCAGGAGAAACGAGGTTTAAACGAAGAGTTTAGTCCTTTGTAATTGTATTCAGATTTCTCTAACATTGTCG